GGAAGCAAATCTCTCTTTGTACTAAAAAAAAAGAAATGTGTTTATATATCGAGAGAGAGAGAGAGAGAGAAGGCAAATACAAATTGCCTCCACATCTTTGGGTTCTGCTTTCATGGATTCAACAAACCATACATTGAAAATATTTTTAAGATATTGCATTTGTTCTGAACATGTCCAAATTTGTATTCTTATCATTGTTCCCCAAACAATTCAGCATAACAACTATTTACATAACATTTGCCGCACAGTATGGGGGGATTATAAGTCACCTGGAGATGTGGGATGATTAGACAGGTTCTATGCCAACCCCGTGGCATTTTATGAAAGGGGCTTGAGTAGACTACTCCTGATACATGATTATGCAGGACAGACCTGGAGATGTTGTGTTTGGAAAGACCCTATCGGCTTTCGGACAACGTGCATTATCATTTTGCATCACAACACTGGACTGGGGACACAGCTCAGTGGTAAGGTGCTTGCCCGACTGTGGATTCCATCCTCAGCATCATGAACATCAAACAAACCTCACAAAACGTTTAAAAGAACGCTGGCTACCAGATGCAAATTTTCTAAAAACAGCCAGTGTCCATCTCGCAGAAGATAAGTGGGCATTTCACTTCTGCGGATTGAAAATCAAAATGTGTGGCTCCACAGATAGATATACATATATTTCTAGATACGTAGATAGTCTGTGTCTATATTCTCTCTCTCTATAGAACATATATAGAGAATATCATATGTATATTCTATCTTTCCACATATATATATGTATGTGCATATGCCTATACATGTACTCTGATTTGCTTAGAGGGTTTAAACCTCCCTAAAAGTAACCTGTCAGATGCATCAGGCTCAGAAACTTCTTCATCCTAAAATAACCCCCAGGGGAAACGACTTCTGTTCAAATCACAGTTTGGAAAACGTTTTGCATGTAAAAAGCGATGGTACAAGTGACTTTCCCCTCTATAAAATTTCAGGAATATAATATTTCTATGAATGTTTTTGCACATTATCTGGTGTCATGAACAGAACAAGGCTCCTTATTAAAAACAACAACAACAAAAAAAATGAACACACACAGAATGCAAACCGAGCTTTAAATTACTCCGCAGGGGACACAGATGTCATCTAGACAAATGTTGTCATAATCGGAAAAACAATAACGAGTCCAAAAACTAACCGCGATAGGAAAATGGGGGTGTCTAGGTAGAGTAATTCGGCACTTTGCACTTGGTGTGCTTGGTGCTCCTCAGTCTGCAACATTTTGTTATAAACCATAAACGAAAGGTTTTCTCTATTTTTTTTCCCACTCCTTCATGCCGCTCCTCCCATAAATAACCTTCTATAGATAGTGGTAGATTATTCAGGAAGAACCAGATAATGGGATCTTACTTTGGAGGGTTTCTCTTTATTCTAAACATTCCATCTGTCTAACTATATTTATGGTGGGTAAAACACCTGTTTTGATTCCTAGGGAACAATCTGGTCTTAAACTCACAGCTGGTGAGAGTCTGCGAGGGTGTTCAGGAACTATTTCTCAAGTGAGGCAGATGGCTATCGAGAGCAACTTGGTTAATTTTATTTTTTATCATCCAAAAAAAAAAATATTTAAAAAGGTGGACAAACTCACAGAGACAGGACTGACCGTCCCCCAGTATGAACAGCACGGGACGTGAGCTCAGGGTGGCGGGTGGGAGGCATCATTAAAAGCACGTGACCATTGTGGGGATCAAGCCCTGGAGGTCAAAATCTCACAGGAATAAAGAGAATCCAATCAATATTCAAAACTGTCCCATAGATGGGCAATAAAAACAGGTATGTCCAAGAGCCAGAATGACCCGAATGTTTGGATGTAATTGGGCTTGAGCAGGTCTCCTTCAGAACCCGCAATTGAAGCCGCTTCCTGCCGCCGTCGGTACACGGAAGGTGGAGTTGCCGTTCCCAGGGGCCGTATGTTGGGAAGTGTGGGCCAGACCCAGAACCTGGGAGTCATCAACTTACAGACTAGAATTTAGTTGAGAATTTGCTTACTTCCAGAGAAAGGAATGGGTAAAAGCCAAGGTCACCAAGAAATGGGATTGACAAGGAAGGGACAGACGTTGACTATGAAAGTAGAGTCTCTGCTGTTGCATGACCAACTCAAGTAGAATCACCTTGGAGGGGACCGGAAGGTACCGTGAGACACCCCAGGAAAAGCTGGTGCATAATCCGGATGCTTCAGTCTGTTTGGAATACTTGGTTTTTGCTTTTAGGTTGTGGGAGATGATTGAAATAAAATGTGTGCAACTGGTAAAATGGATGAAATACAAGAAAGGCCACGCTAAAAATGAATCAGAGAGAAAAACAATACGGATAATGAAGAGACACCAGGTAAGCGGAAGAATTGGCACTTTTGCCCCGATTCAGCTAAGTGAAGCAATTCAATTTTCCACATTGAATACTGTTCCAGCTCCATATGATGCTTAAAGCATGAAGAAGACCAGATCTGTTCGCCTGTGCTTTTCATGAAATGATCAGAAGGATTTGACTAGGTGTGGGATCAATATCTACGCGTCTATGGAAATCTAATTTGTTCAATTAATAAGCTTGGGCTTTATGGGTTGCATAAATAAAACGTGGATATGCAGAGGAGCCTGCTACAGAAATATAACAGGGGGAAGTAAAAACAGTGGTGTTCTTCATGCACACAGACTCTGGGGATGCCAAGGGATTTATCAACATTAAGGGAGGAAGATGAGGGAATAAATTCCACGTTGCCTGCGGCTAGTGGAAATTAAACCGTGGAATTACCTGTTGGTCGAGGGGAGAGGAAGCCCAAGTTCTGATGCCCTCTGGAATGTGGTGAATAAGCTCCTGTAATGCAGAGGCGAGAGTCACTAATTGAGAACATCTGCCTGAGAATACTTAAGAGGAGGCAGAGGACAGCGCTGCGGGGGAGTGTACCTGGGCTATCGGCAGAATTAATTCTTCGTTCCGATGTTTTGTCACTTTAAAACATGCCACATAAGTCGGCAGGTAAAAATAAGGAGGTGACAGAATTAAGATTAATCTGATCCACTGATGAGTAAATACGAGTGGATGCAGGGACCTACTTGGCGCAGATAGGTCACTGGGTATATGCCCGGGGGAGTTGATCTTCTCTCTCTCTCCCCCTTTCTCTCTCCCCATCTCTCTCTCTCTCTCTCTCTCTGCCTCTCGGTGGCCATGGGCTACGCAGCTTTGCTTCACAATGCCCCTTCGGTCACGTTTCTGCCTTGGACTCCATCAGCAATCTGACTCGTCTTTTGAAACCGTGAGCCAACATGGAATTCTCCCCCTGTTTGAGTCAGCGTTTCCAAACTATGACAAAGAGACGTGAGCAGAACAGTTAGAGGAGGAAAAGTTTATCTGGGGGCTCATGGTTTCCATAGACGGCCAACTGCATTCTTGGGGGCCCAAGGAAAATTGTTGTGCTTCTCTGTGTTTCTCTCCAAGACTCACTCCGTCTCAGGTGTCCCGACTCTGTCATCTGCCCTACCACCCCAGAGCTGTTCTGTCCCCAGTGCCCTTCATGCCTCCTATCCCAGACCTCCCAGCTTCTCAGGTGCCACCGTCACTACCACAGGTCTTAACTTCTGCTTCCGGTTGCAGGCTACTTACTTGGGGTAGAAAGTCATAAAGACAGGGTTGTGCTCACCAAGGGTCCAGATGAAGGACCTCAGCCTCTCACATTGCAACTTCTCTTTCCTCCAAAACTCCTGCTTCTCCTAACAGTTCTCCAATCTCCCACGGGGGCCTTTGGTTTAGCCTTCACCAGAACCTCATGAAATCAATGCTCTGACTTTGTGGGTTTTTTTTCTTCCATTCACTGTTATTTTCTCATTTAACCATCAACCATACCAACCCTCCTTTCCTCCTGTCCCGGCAGTGCCCAACCCAAATATCAATGCACGCCTCCGACTTTCAAATTTCCCCTCCCGTCTCTCAATCTCTTTCCTACCAAACATCTTGGGAAAAGGGTGCCTATAAAATAGGGCAATGCCGGCAGTCAGTATCATCTGTCCCTCATCACCCTCCTGGGAACACATTGGTATTCCCATCGCTATAGCAACCAGAGTCTAGGCCGGGCTCCTCCTGACTTGGTGTGCATATCAATCCCTGGGGAATGTCCTTAAAATGCACACTGGGTTCAGTTGGTCTGGAAGGAGCCTGAGATCCTGCATTTCTCTCTCTCTCTCTCTCTCTCACACACACACACACACACACACACACACAAGGTTTCAATAGTTCCATGTTGTCTGAAATAGTTCCCATGTTGACATGGAAAAACGGAGGCTGGAGAAGTCAATGTGTGATCCTACATCAGATTTCCAGAACATCAACCCCCAAGCTCACAGCGGGTCAGGAATGTGCGTCATCAAGTGTCCTCAGACACTTATGTGAGTCGTGCTTTAAGAACCCACAAAATTCCCGAATACCCACCCTGCTCTGTGCCCACTAATAAGGAACAGTGTGAATTCTGCTCAGAGAGCCGCTACCTAAGGACACATGAAGATGCGTTCATTCCTGCTTCCTGTGCCAATGTGCCAGGTCTAGTCCTGGGCTGTACCTAGATCCTGGTGATTCTGTCCTCTTCCCTGACCTCTCTGAGTTTCATTCATATGCATGAAAAACTCTGGGCAAGAAACTCTCCTATAAATGATCTCTTTATAGATTTTTTTTTAATGAGAAAGAATAGCTAAGAAAAGACATGAGTCTGCAATTAAGATAGAAAAATATTGAATACGGGCAATTTTAATAATTGTGTTTGAGCTTTATAAATAACCAAGTTGGACACTGGGAAAATGATGAATGAGCCACATTTTTTGATACCCACTGTTCCACAGACTCTGCCTGTATATAAGATCTGATGTGGTGGAAAAACTCAGCCCTGGGCTGCTTCCTGAAAAAATCTAAAATAGTCTAAGTGACCCAACACAAGGAACGAGGACTGTTTAAGGAGATGGAAATGCAAACTGACCTGATTTGATCATTGCACTTTGTTGAGCGACATCAAATTACCAACACTGTACCCTGAAATATGTCCAATTGAGAAATGTCGAATTTTTAAAAAGTAAAAAGAACATTAGAAAAGTTGCAATGGAACCACCATTTGACGCAGCTATCCCACTCCTTGGCTTATACCCAAAGGACTGAAAATCAGCCCATACTACAGGGACGCAGCCACATCCATGTTCATAGCAGCACAATTCACAAGAGCTAAGCTGTGGAGCCAACCTAGATGCCCTTCAGTAGATGAATGGATAAAGAAAATGTGGTATATATACACAATGGAATATTAACTCAACATTAAAGAGAGAATAAAATCATGGCATTTGCAGGTAAATGGATGGAGTTGGAGAATATCATGGTAAGCAGAGTAAGCCAATCCCCCAAAACTAAAGGCTGAATGTTCTGTCTGATAAGTGGATGCTGATCCATAATGGGGGGGGAGGGGGATGGAGGAACTTTGAGGGGGCAAAGGAGAGGGAGGGTTGAGGCTGGAGCATGGGGGTAGGAAAGATGGTAGAATGAGATAGACCTCAGTACATGTGTGACTGCCCATATGGTGCAAAGCTACATTGTGTACAACCAGAGAAATGAAAAGTTATGGTGCAATTGTGTAAAACGAATCAAAATGCATTCTGCTGTCACAATACCTAATTAAATGTCTTTATGTCTTCCACGTTTCTAGACATTGTGCATCTCTCTTGCTATTGTGAATCAATTTTGCCTCTTTCTGAATTTCTCCTGATATAAACACGGAGTTAACTTTCCTAGGTGCCTATAGACATTTTGATGAAAACTTCGTCATGTATTTCTTCCACTCATTAATTGCACTCTTATGCGTTTGGCCATTCATCTATTTCTCAACCACCGAGTACCTGTGGTTGCGCACAGTGCTAGGGAAAATTTACAATTGGTAATGATTGAGCTATTTTCTCCATTTTTAGCCTTGATTCCATCGCGGTCTTTTCTAGCACTTTCAGAACAATTAGCATCGTAGTAGAGATGTCAAACACACTTGCTTTATTCTTGATATAATGAAAATTTCTTCCATGCTTTATTATGAGGAATAAGGTTTGCCATTTGACTGTGGATAATTTTTGAATGATAATTTATTGACACTTCTTTTACTTCTTAATTGAGTGTAGCTGTTTTATTAATGTAGCACGCATATGGAAATTTGTCAAATCACTGTATCTGGTGAGAATTTTTTTTCCCCTTCCTTTAGGCAATTCACATAGGGACCCAAATTTAGAATTTTACTGTTGAAAATTCAAATCCAAATATCAAAAGGTCAACAGACCAACAGACATCAGAACCAAGGAGATAATTATTGATAGATACATGAATAAATTACATGAAAATGGTACATATAGTCTATGTATCTATATTACGTGGAAATTTATATATATAGTTTATGTGTTATATATATATTCAGTTATATATAAGTGTATTTATATACATTTAATCTGTATATGATACACACATAATTGTCATAATTGTCTAAAACTCCAATGTAGGGAACTGAAAAATTATTATGAAAAAAATCATTAAAATGTCTCTAGGTACATACAAAGTTTATATCAAGATATGTTTATATCAGGAAAAATTTAAAAACTGACAAAATTCATTCATAATAGCAACAAAGAAGTCTAATACCTAGAAATTGTGAGAGACATACAAAAACTACACATTAACCTTCTTGTGTGGAATCAGACCTAAAATGCTCCTGAATGGGGAGATTAAATCCTACTACATATAAACAATGCATGTGTTAGTCAGTTTTTCGTTGCTGTGACCAAAAGACCCAACAAGACAAGAAGAACTTAGAGGGGGAACAGCTTATTTTGACTTGCAGTTTCAGAGTTACAGTCTGTGGCTGGCCGACTCCATGGCTCTGGCCCAAGGGGAGGCAGAACAAGATGGCGGCAGGGCCTGGAGGAGGAGAGCAGCTCAGGACAGGGCACCAGGGGGCAGAGAGAGCTCTGCTGGCCAGGGACTGGATAGAGACCCCAAAGGCACAGCCCAGGGAGCACACCCCACCTGCCTACATTTATCACCCACTTAATCCATATCAGTGAATTAATCCACTATTAGGTTAAGACTCTCAAAACTCAATCATTTCACCTCTGAACATTCTTGTATTGTCTCACATGAGTCTTCTGGGGACACCTCCTATCTAAATACACTCCACTAAAAATATCTAAAAAGAACAGATTAAAAAAATAAAAAGTCCTGGAGAAATGATATTCATAAATAAACTGGGAAAAGGAAAGGCCTGTGAACTTGATGAAACTTATTTAACTTTCCTTCCTTTATTTTACAAAAGAAACCCAAGACCTTCTTTTAAAACAGAAACAAGACAGGATTGATGGGATTGCTGCATCTGTGCCATGCTGACAGTCAGGGTGTAGGGAAGGATTAATTAATTGTCTTAAACAAGCAAACAGAGCTCTCACAATCACAGTCAGTGTGATGGCCTATAAGGACTACCCCGGAGACTCTGTTTCTTACAACTGGAGATAGAATTGAGCACCGTGAGCAGCACACAACTAGCAGCAGTGTTCCACGCACCAGGGACAACATACAATGGATTTTAGGAAAAGGAAGTTGGTTCACAAGAAGCCCATGGATGAAGGAACCTGAGAAGAAGTGTGATAAAGACGTGATGCAGGGTGGACAAAATATGGAGAAGTGTTTACGAGTGTAGAGAAATGGCAGCCCAAGATGTAAAGGCTATTTTATTAAGAGGACACAGAAAAGACAAGGAAACGTTCAAAGAATTCCCACTCTGCACAGCAATTAGCCTGGGCCGTCCAAGTGCAGCTGAGAGAGCATGTATCCCCACAGGGGACGGCGGGGGAGTAGAGATGGCATCAGGGCCACGAGGAGCACTGACTGAAGAATAATCATAACCAGAGACAGAGTTCTCTGTGCCAGAGGAGAGCCGTAAGAACAGAATAAGACAAAACTAGAATGAGCTGTGAAATTGGGTGTATCTGCTGAATGGATGCGTTTTCATAGAAGATGGGTGGATGGATACATAGATGGAAGGATGGATGGATCGATAGATAAATGGATTGATGGAAAGAAAGATGGCTGGCTGGCTGGCTGGATGGTTGGTTGGAAGGATGGATGGACTGACGGGTAAATGGATTGATGGATGGATGGATGATTGGTTGGTTGGTTGCAAGGATAGATGGACTGACAGGTAAATGAATTGATGGAAAGATGGATGGATTGATAGATAAATGGATTAATGGAAAGATGGATGGATTGATAGATAAATGGATTAATGGAAAGATGGTGGATGGATGGATGGATGGATGGATGGATGGTTGGTTGCAAGGATGGGTGGACTGATGGGTAAATGGATTGATGGATGGATGAATGGATGGTTGGTTGCAAGGATGGGTGGACTGACAGGTAAATGGATTGATGGATGGATGAATGGATGGTTGGTTGAAAGGATGGATGGATTGATAGATTGATGGAAAGATGGATGGATGGATGGATGGATGGTTGTTGGAAGGATGGATGGACTGACAGGTAAATGGATTGGTGGATGGATGAATGGTTGGTTGGAAGGATGGATGGATTTATAGATAAATGGATTAATGGAAAGATGGATGGATGAATGAATGGATGAATGGAAGGATAGATGGACTGATGGGTACATGGATTGATGGATGGATGGATCGATGGATGGATAGTTGGAAGGATGGATGGATGAATGAATGGAAGGATGCATAGATAAAGCTAAGTAGCAAGAGGTAGATAAAAGACAGATCACAGATGACAGGTAGATAGGTAGGTAGATATACATGCTTCCACACCTGTATGCATATAAATTTCCTAGTTTCACTGAGATAGCCTGGTAGCAGCAACACACCACTAACATGGTTATTTGTCTACTAAATTGGGTATATAGTTACCATAAATATAAATACCATTTCCACTAGACAGAACCAACACCCCTTGGAGAAGGGGATGACTTCAAGGCTGAGGCAGAGAAAGAACAAGATGAGCCTGAGATATCTTGTTGCTGAAAGTGAGAAAGGGCTCAAAGTACCGCGAGAGCTGTCAACAAGAGTCAGCTAAACAGGTTCCCGATGAGCACACTCAGGACAATGTGAACGTCAATATAAGTGGGGATAGATTATAAGAGGCTATACCCAGTGGAAACCAGGAGGCCACGTAACTAAACACCTTGGGATAGGAATAATTTTGAGAGCTTGATGAGGAGAAAATCTGAAAATCTGAAAATCTCTCTCCACAAGATATTTACTAACTACAAAGGAAAGAAGCATGGCAGGCATCACTAGGCGTGGGTAATCCTCTGCCAAAGATATTTAGCCTGAATCGAATCCTGAGAAAACATCAGAAACACTCAAACTGGGGGAAACACTATAAAATCACCGTGATGGTTTAAAGAGTGCCCCTCTGCCCCAACTGGACGTCTCAGAATGGGGTGTTATTTGGAAACAGGCAGATTGGAATGAGTTAAGGATCTCAAGAGGAGATCAGTCTAGATTTAGGGTCAGTCCCTTGTGGAATGACTGGTGTCCTTCTAAGAACAAGACACGACATTTATTTATCTATCAATCTAGAAATACACCCAGGAAAGATGATCTTGTGAAAACAGACAGACGGGCTGGATGGATGCTACTTCAAAGCCATCCGGTTCTCAGTACTTGATATGGCGGCCCCAAGAGATGAACACAAGACCAGGTTTTTAATCTCCAAACTTCCTGGTGCCATGAAGACCATAAGGGTGACATCATGGTCCAGGCTGAAGACACAAGAGACACATGTCATACCGACCAGCACACTTTTGTGACAAAAGTCACAATCGGGACAGGTGGCCGAACTTGAATGAGGTTTGAGCTGAGACAAATTCGAGCGCAGAGCTGACCAGTTACGTGGTCAGTTCATCCCAAGAAAACTGTCAGTCTGCAAATCATGATCACCGTTGGAACGACTCTCCACATTTCCTGAACTATAGGACTTGCGTCTCCTCCTACCTCGAGTTATGCAGATAATTACTTCCACTTTTAGGCTGGTTTTGCTGTCATCTAGATAGAGCTTAAGCAAGAAAATCCTCAACGCAGTGAACTTCTGGTAATGACTGGTTCCCCGGCTGTAAAGAGTGACGGAGTCCGAAGAACTCTGTATGATCAGTACTTATAAATATAAAGAGGGACTTTTCCTATGATGGTATTCATTTTTTTTTTTAAATCATTACGATAAAGAAAGAAGCAGGGTAAATGGAATCTATGTGTTCATTGCTGCGAGTTTCTTTGCAAGATTCCTGGGACCTTGCATGGCTGATCTGACCTTGGCACCTGATCTTGGGCAACCAGAACGGGCAGACTCCTTGCTTTCTTTGTGTAGTGCACTGGCTTGCTCCTCAAGAGCATCCTTGAACTTCATTTTCTCTCGCTGTCAATGGAAGCGCTGGGTTCCCATAGTTACGAAGACCGTGACTGGAAAGCAGAAAAGGAAGACGAGTTGGATTTTAAATGACGGGTCCACAGACATTAGGGAATTGCCTCTGTAGACTCCCCAAGCAGTCTGCCCCAGTAATTACCCTGCAAACATGTCAGTATCTGGGTCACAAAATCTCTTCCGAATTTGTATCCATGGGTTCAAGCATGCTGCAAAATTTTGACCCCAATGGTGGGGCTGATCCTATGTGGAATTCCGTTATCTAGACACCCGGGGACACACTCCAGAGATTGACAGCGCACGCTCTGTGGCTGGCCTCCCTGAGGACTTGGTACGCCTCCTCTGAGGAACGCCTGGGGGGTACAGATCTTGCTGTATGTTGCACGGGAAAGTCGCTGCACATTTATATGTCTATATCTCACAATATACTTTTTTTTTAAGGAAAGGATCATCCACCCACATGGTCAAGGATATATGTAGTGGGTTACAATGCATTCTTCAAAAAAAAAATCCAAGAGAGCAAGTCACTTTTCTTCAAGAAAGAAGTTATGGCTGGATGCGGTGGTGCACACACCTGTCATCCCAGCGGCTTGGGAGGCTGAGGCAGGAGGGTGGAGAGTTCCAAACCAGCCTCCGCCAAAGGGAGGCCCTAAGCAACTCAGGGAGACCCTGTCTCTAAATAAAATGCAAAAATAGGGCTGGGGACGGGGCTCAGCAGTTGAGTGCCCCTGAGTTCAATCCCTGGTATCCCCGCACACACCAAAAGTAGTTATGGAAAGATCATACAAATAGAATATTTGCAAAAGGAGAGAGAGTAAGGTGCAAAATCTTAGGCAAAGCTGGAAATTTAGCTAGTAAATAAACTGGCACAAACGTGAACTGATAATCCAGTCTTCCTGTCACTTAATAAAGCCACATGTGGAGATTCAACCACGTTTGCTCACGTAGATGAAATACACACCCCAAGGACCATCATTACTGTAGACGGGGTCTCTGCAGAACTCCTAAGAAAAGAGGCCATAATTGGTGTCTGTGTGTAAAAAATTGTGTATTTGGGGCTTTTGAGAACCATAAAACTGATTTAAAGAATGGTTTCATGGGGGTGAAAAGAGCAATGCAGGACAATTAAATCCACGCCATTAAATTGGTTTGTTTCTAAGTGCCTCTTGGTAATGAAGAGTTCATGCTTGGCGAAACCCCATCAAAACAGATTGAAGACGGTGTCAGCGAATCAGCCCTCGGTGATTGGATGCCGCTTCACAAAGTGGGACGCGGCATCCGCACAGTGTGATTTACAAACGGGGCTCTGCATGGTTCCTCTGGATTTTAATTCTTGCTCGTCGACTTGGGTTTACTTGGCTCTTGGTGTTCTGCAGCATTTTGTCTATTTAAGTTCCTCCCAGATCTGAAAGCATGCAGCCTATGTCTCAGATTCCTCTTCCCCCCGCTGCCCTGTGGCCTGATGCAGGAGGAGATGCAAAAACCATTCCTCATCCCCTGATGCTGCCAACTCTGATCAAATGCCCTCTTCCCTGCACCAAGCACTGATTCAAGTATTAAAGATAGATCCATTGCAACGGGCCATAATTAAATTGACAGAGTCCTGGCAGAATTTTTTGTTTTTTTTTTTTAAACAAGGGTTTAATGAGAAGGCGCCCTCCAAAAGGATCCTCAACTTGCTGTGCCTTCTAAGCTTTCCGGCGTTTTATTCAAACCAGTCTTCTTTGTGCAGGAACTGCACGGTGTCATCAAATCCACGCCGATACAGGGATTCCATTTTCCTTCTGCTTGGAGGGAAGAGGGCCTGGTTGAGCCTCATGAGGTTGGGCAGGGACAACTAGGAGAGAAAGACACAAGTTCAGGCTGCAGGACATACGTTTAACAGCCTTCACCCCCGAGACGCCGGGAGCAACCCCAAGATATGACAACCCCAAACATCTCCACGGGGTGCCAGGCCTGTCCTGGATAATATGCCATCGCCCCAGGTCCAGATACATGAGATTAAGGGAATAGATGTCTTTATGCCAGTATCTGTCCAACATTCGCCAATATTTCAGTCCTTCTATCTTTCTAAATAAATAAATGACCCAATCGAAAACTGCACTGATGGCCTACCAAGTTTATGGGTGTGGGAAAGAGCCGAAGACAGAGAAAAAGCTATGCAAAACGTCAGTTAATTAAGCCGGGCACGGTGGCTCACGCCTGTAATTCCAGCAGCTTGGGAGGCCGAGGCAGGAGGATGGCGAGTTCAAAGCCAGCCTCAGCCAAAGGGAGGCCCTAAGCAGCTCAGGGAGACCCTGTCTCTAAATAAAATACAAAATAGGGCTCGGGTGGGGCTCAGTGGCCGAGTGCCTCGGAGTTCAATCCCTAGTTCCCCTGCCACAAAAATGTCAGTTAACCAGCAGCAGACAGACTGCGTCCTGACAGCCCCAGGCCCCCAGGTCTCTTGGCATGATGGAGAATTGCAAGGCCCGGCTGCAGGCTGCATTCATTCTGCGGGGATTTCCAGTGGACTAGGGCACTTTAAATGTCACTGAAGGTAATTACTCACCATTACGTCCTGGTTGGTGACCTTGATGTACACACTGAGCTGCCCTTTGTCTTGGGGGGAGATGTCCAGCCGTCCACAGAAAGGGGAGATGGTCACTGTGCGGCCTGCGGGCAGGACGGGGAGACTGTTGGTGAGGCCTCCGTCCACCCACTTCTGTGGAAAGGAAGGTGCACGTACGTCAGTGCCCGTGGGCGGCCCGATTCCCGCGCAGAGAGAAGGAGAGGGGCCTTCTCCGCAGTGGCCGGCCTCCCTGGTCCTAAGATGCACGCTTTGGGTGTCCTTCTAAATCAGAATGTCTGGGTGCTCACCCACCTGTGCGTCTGTTTTGGGAGCAAAAGAAATCTTTGTACGTGTGTTACTGACTGAGCTGTGGAGAACTCTGGACGGAATCAGAAAACCTCACCCACCCGGCGGGGACCTCGGAGGGCTCAAGGTGAGCGTGTCCTTGGTCCCTGCCTCTAGGAAACGTGCTCTGGTGGAAACACACACACTGCAGCCCGTCTGTTCCAAGGCCAAGGATAAAAGAGAAGGAATACGTGCCATTTCTGTCATCTACGGACTGCCCTGTCTCTTTTATTCCTCCTGACTTGTTTTGACTTATCAATCTGCTGAGGAGACGGTTGGCATTTCTGTTAGTTACGAAGGCCTTGGCAGGATCCCGACTCCTCCAAAGGGAATGAAAGTCAACTAAAAAATAAGCGATTTGACTAAAATGAAACTGACCCAGAATGATGTGCATGTTGTCATAACGCATAAGATTATATAATTACTTCATATATATGTATATATATATATATGGCTATGAATATCTGTACACCTGAAAGTAGCTGTGTTGCTCTCTATATATGCATAAACACGATTGCAGCGTCTGTATGTGTTTTAAACATAGCAGGTTACACAAGTGAAACCTACAAAAGGGAGGTTTGTAAAACCAAAGGCCCCCCAATATGTGATTGCATTCCCCGAGCTTGCTCCCCCGGCCTTGATTTACGTATGAATACCTAAGAGAAAAGAATAACAGGGCGCCTTGCAAAACGATCTCCCTTCTCAACAGAGCCCGTCACCCATGGGGTAAAAAACTGGAGAGGTTTCATCAGGGAAAATTAAAGATGTGTCAGAGAATTCAAGAGCGAGCTCGTCTGACTTGTTCACCGTAATGAAAAGGGGGTCAATCTGGCTCATTAAGTTGAAAAGTGTTGCAATTTACTACGGGGTTAATGACTGCTGTTTCAGGGAATCGAAAATCCTTTTTCCAAATTCTGTTGGCTCTTGTTAGCTTGTTCTGATTGGATAAATGACTAGGAAACACAGAGTCATCAGATGGCTTCATGACTCCATCGGCAAAGATTTCTGCGCCTCTGTACACTCCGAGGCTGCCATCCCACCGGCTCGGGGGCTCTGTGGGCCACATGCCTCACTCCCGAGTTAAGCCCTCCCGAGATCGTGGGCTCAGAACCCGCACACCTCCGTTCAGCCGTGCGGATTCGACCCATAACTCCGAAAAGTGCCACCGGAGCAACAAAAATAAGTCCCCAACCTCCCAATTAAAAGTACAAGAATTTTTCCACGCCGTGCTCTCCAGGGAGGTGGAAATCTTGCCCTTAGTGTTTCCGGGGTCAGGAATTCTCTGGCTGTTGGCCCCGTATTCCTGCATGCCATTCCACATTCTTGCCCTGAGGTGGCATTTGACATGCCAGTAGCTTCTGCTCTGAGCATCTGTGGTTCTAGAATCGTCCTTAAGAAAAATAAATGCTCTGGTATGAGATAAGTGTATTTATGTGCATTTGTCTCTGTTTTCGATTCTGCACCAATGGTCTGCGGGTCTGTCTGGGCGCCAATACCATGCTGTTTTTGTTACTATAGCTCTGCCGTATAATTTAAGGTCAGGTATTGGGGATGCCTCCTGCATCGCTTTTCTGGCTGAGGAGTAGTTTGACTATTCTGGGCCTCGTATTCTTCCAAATGAATTTCATGACTGCCTTTCTACTTCTATGAAGAATGTCATTGGAACTTTAGTGGGAATTGCACGAAATCTGCACAGCGCTTTTGGTAGCAGAGCCATTTTGACAGTGCTGATTCTGCCTCTCCAAGAACACGGGAGGTCTTCCAGCCTTTAAGGTCTTTGATTTCTTTCCTGTTGTGCAGTTTACATTGTGCAGGTCTGTCACCTCTTTTGTCAGACTGACTCCCAAACATTGTATTTTCTTTGAGGGTGGGGCTGCAAATTGGGGCAACCCCTCTGGAAAGCAGGATGGAGATTCCTCAGAAAACTGGGAATGGAACCACTACTTGACCCAGCTGTCCCACTCCTCGGCATATACCCAAAGGTCTTAAAATCGGCATACTACAGGGACGCAGCCACATCAATGTTTATAGCAGCTCAATTCACAATAGCTGACCAAGCTAGGTGCTCTTCAACAGATGGATGGATAAAGAAAATGTGGTACATATATCAATGGAATATTACTCAGCCATGAAGAAGAATGAAATGATGGCATTTGCTGGGAAATGGATGGAACTGGAGAATATCAAGCTAAGGGAAATAAGCCAATCCCAAAAAACCAAAGGCTGAGAGTGTTCTCTCTGATGTGCAGATGCTAACTCACAATAAGGGCAGGGAAGGAAAGAATAGAAGTCACTGGATTAGACAAAGGGCAATGAAGGGAAGGAGGGGGATGGGAATAGGAAAGACAGTAGCATGAATTGGATATAAGTTTCCTACATTCATACATGAATACAGTGTAACTCCACATCACGTACAACCACAGGAATGGGATCTACTTAGGATAAGTTGTATTCCATGTATATATGGTATGTCAAACTACATTCTACTGTCATGCATAACTAAAAAGAACAAATTTAAAAGGTTACAATGTTAATAAAGCTCACTGCTGGACCTAGGCTGCTGCCCCTCATTACCACTGCTCTCCCACTACCGCCTTCCAGTCTCTGACCACATTCGAAGCATGCTCCACGTTAGCGTGAATTGCCTGGGTTCACAGTGATGTAGCTTTCGTGGGGGATAGGTTCCAAGACCCCCAGTGGATACCTAAAGCTGCAGATGGGAGCAAACTCCGTAAACATTATGTTTTCCTCTATGCCCCATATCTCTACTGCGTATCCGATCCCCTCATTTTACAAGAGGAAAGTGCATCTGGGGGAATTACTTGTTCTAGGTTGTGGCCTGGTAAGTTACGGCCCACCATTTCCTCCTTTAAATAAAGTTTTATTGGCACACATCCACGTCCTTTGGTTTACAGATGGCCCATGGTAGTATTCCCACTATGACAACACAGTTGAGCAGGTGTGTGGACAGAGATTATGTATGCCCATGGTCAAATATTTACCCTGATACTCTACAGAAAAACTGCAGGAAGAAATAGCTACTGCCGTGGAGCTTACATGCAAAGAGGCTTGAGGGGGTAAGGGGTGGGAGGGGGAGGGAGACAGAGAGAGAAACCATGAGCCCCGATAAACTCCTCCTCCTTCGGGTTGCTTTTGCGAGGTATTTTGGTCACAGCGATGAAACGGTAACTAAAACACAGAAAGGGGATCCATAAACAGACCTATCTCCTAGGACACAGAGGAGAGTCTCCCGTACGGAGTGAAGAAAAATGGGAACAGAGAAGAGGTAGGTAAGATTTTGGAGTCAAAGGGACACAAGTTAAAATGATATTTTTAAAAAGGGGCCAGGGAAACTCTTGTACTAACTTCTGTTGGACGCTGCTGACTTTCAGAATTTCTGAAAGTTGTTTAGAAATGGTGACTCCAAAAACAATCGAGTTCATTTAGCAGTTGGCAAGGTACAGTCATTAATAATAAATATTCCCTGGAAGACAAACATGCCGTTCCAAAAATTAAATAGACCGTGCAAAAAAAAAAAAGTGTAAAACATCATGGAAAAATAAGAGTTTTCATTTTAGAGTAACTGTACGTTGACACTGAGGTTTCCATCCAGCCAAATCCAGCTGGTCGAGAGCCCGGCCGGGGCCGTTCGCTGAGATAATGACTGAATCATGCTTTTGTGGGAAATGCCTAAGTCAGGAAGAAACGGGAGCCTAGGACTGTGGTAATGATTTTATATAAATGCACAGTAAGTGAGTATTTCACAATTCTCTTTCCCATATGTGTCAATAATGAAAGGATCACTGATCCATAATGCAAAGGCTCAGGGGAGAGATCTGCAATTGACAAGTTAAAATTAAAATAAATAAAATAAAATTAAAATAAAAAATAAAAAAATAAATAAAAAAATAAAATTAAAAAATATTACTTGAATTCTAACTCAGACCAAAGGGGAAAAAAAAAAAAAAAACCCCATAAAATCCTAAAGTCTTTCTTCTCATCTGCACCGGGCCCTTGTGGACACGATCGTGATTCTGACAGTTAGCCACTTGCCGATGCTAATGCTCTCTCTTGGAGAATGTCAGTTAGCAATTCCTTCTGAGGATTGTCCTCTTGTCCCAAATGGATGACAGGCATCTGTGATAACCTGGCCTACGAGTGGGATCGCTCCGGGGGCTTCCTGCCTCTAACCCCTGCTTGCAGCCCAGCCTCCCGCCTCAGGAAAGGCCCCCGAGCCAGCAGACAAACCAAAGCCCGGCTGCAGGAACACACTGCCATCTAGGAAGAAAGAGGTATTTTCAGCATGGCTGACATTTTTGTGCAGTTTGGGCTGTATAAAGAGCTTAGACCCACAGCCAAACGCGTCTCTGACGCAAAGTTCACGATCCCCTCAAGATGGGGAGGAAAGAGGGCAGAATCTGACTCGGGGAGGAGAGACCCGACGGACGGGGGAGACCATGAGGCTTAGAGCAGGCCAGCCGCCAGCCAGGAGGACGCCTGTCCACTGACATTTCCTAGCACGAATGACACGAGGCCCCTGTCAATCATTCTGCGCCTGGGGGTCCTTGCTGAGGGCCCCACCGAGCAGCAAAGGGAAACCAGATGCTTAGCGGAGACATAGGGCTCGTGTCCAAAGTGTTCAGTGACTTCCTGCAAGACTTCATCAGGAACCTCCCATCCCACCGGCCCAAGCCAGCGGGTGAAGGAGGGAGAGAAATGAAATGAGGAGTAGCTTCTGTGAGAAGCCCTAAAGAAGCAGGCAGAGCAGAGACCCCAACGTGAAAGATCATTCTGGGGACATTTCCCCCTTCTAACTTAGTGACTTGGGTAGATGAAGACCTCTATGTCTCCCTTTCTTGCAGCAGATACGACTGGATACTGGTACATGCAAAGACAACAGCAGATAACAAGAATACAGAGGACTGGTAAAACAGCTCCCCTACTACCCTCCCCCCCCCAAAAAAAAGAAAAAAGATTCAGGAACCCAGCTCCCTAGTTGACATCTCCAGGGTGTGATCTTTGACCTCATGTTTCATAATGAATGCTGATGCTGCAGTCATCACATCTAAGTTCCAGGAAACAGGAAAGGAAGACGAGAAGAACGGAAAATGTATCATCTCCCTTCCCACGTGCCTCACAGTAATTCGGCTGGCATCTCGTTAGCCTGAACACAACCTTCCTTGCTGTAAGTCCAACGGTATTTCAGTTTACATCTTCTTGGCCAACAACTAAATGTGTAGACATACTCACCTGCAGGGGAAACTCAGAAAACTAACCTTTGAGCTACACGGCAATCAATCCAGATAAAACGAGATTCTATTACTAAGGAAGTGAGAGGGTCCTCACCACAGGTTCAACAGGTGGGCTCACTCAGCCTTGGACTGTCAGTCTGCAAATTGTGAGCTTAAAACCGTTTTTGTTTATAAACCACGAACCTTAGGTATTTTGTTATAGCAACACGGAATGAACCGACACACCTCTTTTGATGTCAATGCAGAATCTCATGAAATGCCTTAGGATTTTTCTTAACCATAGTTCCCATTTTTGTAATGAGTAGAGTATATTATAAAGGGTACTTTCAAGTAAAAGCTATTTTAGATTTCAGATGGTTATAAAACCAATGTTCACAGTACAAAGCTGATTTTTTGATAGCAACTTTAAGCCTATTCAAAATGTAATGTAGAAATAAATGCCAACTTCATTTCGAGAGGGAAAATAATACTTTAACTACGCATTCAGAGTGTGATATATTGCAAATAAAATTCTAAATGACAAAATAGGTCATACTTTCCTTGGAGACTGAATACGTTTTAGCTAGGACTGACAGCATCAAAAATAGGAAATATTAGGAAAGCTTACCTAGTTTGTACAAGATGATAGGTAAATTTTTTATGCACTCTTAAAAAAATTCCATGGGTATACTGCTTCTCATTGGCCACAATCAGGATTTCAGATGGCTAAAGAGAGGTGCCTCCCTACAAATGATATGTCCTAAGCACGTGGCTACTGAGTTGTCCAACTGAGAGTGGACGGTCGCTCTGGGGGTCTCATTGTATCTGTGAGGTCTTTCTGCAGCCGTTTCTCCTGTCTGTGCCCTGCCCAGGGGAAGTCCCTCTAGGCCAAGAATCCCACGGAAGGCCAAATAAAAAGGGCAGGACACCAGGAGAGTCCCGGGAGCGGGCATCCTGAGGGTCTGTCAAGGTCCCAGTGCAGACCCCTCCTCCAGCTACGAGCCAGCAGACTTGTGAAGCTCCGCTCGGGCCCTGGCTGTGAGACCAGCACTCCTCAACACCCCCAGGAAGGTCACTGTGTCTGGGGGGGGGGGGGCCCGGGGTAGGAGTGAGAGGTCAGGCAGACGGGTGGCATCGAAGTACCCCCAGGCACTGATTCGTGAATGAACAAACTTCCGCAGTGTGAAATAAACAGCTCTCCTTCCTCTGCAAGTGGGCCTGATCCCTAAATGGGTGCTGGATTCTGCATTTGATCATACACTGTCTGTCTGGGGTATGTGCTAAAGAGAAAACGTGCTGGATTCTAAGCTCCACGGATCGGGCGTAGGTTGGACACATGCTGGGTTTGATTGTGAAATATACACCACGGCGGGTGTGTGTGTGAAATGCACACTGTATTGGATGACAGGATACGTATTTCATATAAATAGATACTGTACGTGGTTACATAATGCTTATCTTGTCTATGTTAAACAGATCCTCGGATGATAGATGCACCTCGCTGGTGTGGGTTAAAGAGAAATGCTGTTTAATTATTAAAAGCCTATCTCTGCTGGGTGTCAGATAGAGGCGGTGCTGGGTTATGAGATGCAGGTGTTGAACCAGTGTCCCTGAGGGGGAGAGAGCTACCGCATGGCTCAGGGGCCAGGTGTGCAGGGCCCCCCCGGAGCTTGTCCCACCAAGACCACGTGGCAGTCATAGGAGGAGCCGTGACCAGGACTTATGAGGGAAACCAAATTCTTTCACTGCTTTCAAAGGTATTTTTAAATGACAAAACTAAGAGCATCCCTGTCAATCATTCCTCTTCCCCGATTTTGATAAGGTATCAAAGACCCTCCGGTTCTTCTTCTTCTTAGAAACAAAGCTACTTATGCAAAGAATGCGTTCCCATGGATCTGGACCAGAATATGGGAGACTGTCCCTTTCGGAGGAGGTGGATTTCTGGGGAGATTGGCGTTAGCTCCTCCGTAACGGCGACATTACCTGCCCTTTGTATTCCACTGGTCTCAGTCCCGCGTAGATGGGCACAAAGCTGCTGGCCAAAAGAACCTAGGTGCACAAAGAGAGAAAGGACTCAACTCGAGAGGCCACCCAGGAAGCTGCGACACCATTTAGTACGAAACTCTTATGACGTGAACACCTTCCACGCATGTCCAGACACGAATGCTCACACTTACGTAATTAAAAAAAATAATAATAAAAATAAAAAATAATTTAAAAAAATGTTTTCAACATCCGAGAAGGCCCCAAAATCATAGGTTCAAATCCACGCTCCCCAAATGAGTGAACTACATACTCCTAAGTCAGAATCAGTGCAGAAGACCAAGTCCTTTTGAAACTGGCATCTCAATTCCTGAAATCTGTACGGGTTGCAGTTGCTAATTGATGATTCCTAATGTCCTATCAATTACTAGGAAAACGGTTTTAAAGTCGCCCTGTTATTTCGTGGAAGAGGAACCCCCCTGGTTATTACAGGGGAGATTCACTCCCCACAGCGCAGGATGCCCCAAGGGATGCTACCAGGATGCGGCAAAGCAGACGGTACGTTTTTTAAGACACTCCACGTTCCAGCCAAGGAATCATGAAATGCAAGTAGACCAATGATACGCCATCTTCCGTTTGAAAAGTGGGAAATGATCGTCATTTAGGATATGATCGGTTCTTCCAAGAGAAGCAGCCGAGCTCTGACGGCTTTTCGAAATCTCCATGTTCTCTTCCGCAGCCTCGGTTTCGAATCGCCAGCGAGGGCTCTATTTGAAAACACACGGCATTAGACGTTGAATATTTAAGCTCTAATCTTTCAGCTGATAAGGGAAAGTCTCTATGGCTGTTTATCGGCAAAGATTTCATGAGGCGCTTTTTTTTTTCCCCAACATGCATTATTCAGAAATGGATCAGAGCCCCAACACTGGCTTATAAATCATCTGTTTAGAATTATTTAGAACTCAGAAGGCGTTTCCCCCCAAGAAATAATATTATAGGTCTGATTTTTTTTAGGTCAGCTCTCAAAAGCCCATTTATGCTGATCTGCCACTCAATTACAGGCCCAGGCGACAGTGTAATGGGATTTCTGTCGGAAAATCTCCCCTGGGCTGCACCCCACAGGGCAGGAGCCCGCGGGGGCGGGAAGCCCTTCCTGGTGGTGATTTTTGCACTGGGTCCCTGAGCCGTGGTGTGCGCTTCCTCCTGAGGTGGCTCTTCCTTGCACCTGTCTCATGACGGATAGAAACCAAGGAAGAAAGGCTCTGGTGCCTCCTCCACGGGGCACTAGGCTGCTGCCGTCACTTTCAATAGCAAGACAGAGAAGGAGGGCGCAGGCTGCTGGTGGCACTTTGGGGTCAAGGGCAGACGGAGGTCCTGGTTATGAGAGCTCCCGCAATAATAGGCTCCCGACAGGCGGCTCAGGAAGCTTCTGGGGACGGCGGTTTGAAGTGGCAACGTCATGGTAACAGCACAGCCCAGGGACCAAGCCAACAGCCCTGGGTCACACAGCTCTGGCATGTCAGGCTGGTTCTCTGGGCCGGGACCGGCTCTATAATCTGTCAGCCCCGTGCAAAAAGCCAACGCCATTTCCCTGTTCAGAAAGTGCGAAAAATCCCAAGATGTTGACAGCTGGGTGTTGGGTCAGGAATGAGGCCTTTTGAGAGCCGGGCCTGTGCCCACGCGTGCCGCGCACACCAGGGAGGGGACTCGGCTGTGCGCCACCCCCCAGCGCCTGCCTGAACTCTCTCAGAATTACTGCTCAAAGCGACGACATCGCCCGCCCAAGGGTGGCTGAGCTAATGAGTGCTTCAGCCTGCACCTGGGTTTGGGTTTATTTTAACACCAAACACACCTTCCCTTGGATGTTTTCCAGGGCCAGGAACTGAGTCCGGTTTCTTGCATCCTGTTTGTTTCGTGGCCAATTTCATGCATCTCTCTCTCTTAATCACTTGTTTGTGCAGAGACCAAGTGCATGCTCATTGGTAGAAGTGCTTCCCGGAGGGAGGGAAGTGTCCTCTTTCATTCTGTTTTTATGGATCCGTTCATTTATTTATCGCGAGGTAGAATAACAAGCCCACAGGAGATTTGACAGCCTCCCAGTCAGTGCGGACCTGCCTGTACCAACACGCTCAGTGCAAGGTCTCCGTCTCACTGTGTAGCACAACAGGACGGGGTGACAGTCCCTCCACCACACCCACTCCACCACGAGGCAACCCGGGAGCGAGGGTCACCTTAGGAGATTTGCTGGAGATCATCGAGGAAATCCGTGGCAAAGCGCCATCCTCGGTCCCAACCCTCACTGCCGCCCCGTGGCCATGATAAAATCGGTAGTTGGCATTTTTAGTTAGAGAAAGCCTGTTTACAGTTAAGATCATCGCATTTACTCCAACGAAATCCGGCCTTGTCATCGATTGGTTACCCTTAAAATGAAAAGCCATGACGGATGGGTCCTAGGTAGGTTCTGAAGCACAGTCCACCGGTTTAATGAAGTAGCTGGCGAATCCCACGTCGCACCGTAGCATCTCCTGGAACGATTGGTGGGCGAGGACACAGCGACAGTGCTGGGGAATGCCTGCCGCATTTTAAAGTCTCTGAAGGATCAAACGTGTGTCTCCTTGGGCTGCACAGACATAAGTACGCTGCAAAAAAATCCACCACCCTTAGAATCAGGACGGTACCCTCCCTCCTCCACCGAGTTGGAGTATAACGTGAAGTTGGCGATTTCATGCCTGGAGCTGTTTTGAGGTATTTGGATGCAGAAAAAAAGGGATCCAATTACTTCCCTGCAGATAATAACAGTTAGAATCCTCCTGAAGGATATGAAAAGTGCAGAGACCTGGAAAGTGCGTGCCCCTACACCAACGCGTTTTTTCCTGACACTATTCACTCTCCCTTCTTATGGCCTGGTGATCTCTGCATCAAGCGGACTTTAGTGAGGAAATTAGCTTTGGGTAGTTAAGAAGGAAGCGGCTTTCCTTACTGCCATTTGATTGCAGCACATAGATAGGATTTCATAAGGAGGCAGGTGAAGACTGACATGCTAAGACCCCTTAATGCAACACGGGGTCCCAACGTGTGTCTTTCAGCCTGGGTGACTTCCTGTGGACGACACCGACGTCACCGATCAATCTCAAGACATCCAGAGCAGCCGATGTCAACGGAAGGGTCATGTCCCCACGCTCTGCTGAGCCACAACCCCAGCCCTGTTATTGGTTTTTCTCACCAATTTTAGAGGTGACCTAGTAAGCAAGGGACTCCTGGTGACTTTGCCACAGAAAACACCTCTGATACATGGGAAATGGGAGGAGCAGATGCCTCAGTGGATTTCAGGAAGTTGGAGGCTGCTCTTGTCTGCGTCAAACTGGCTGAAACCACCTACCTTTACTTTTGGGTCTGCCCAAGGGTCCCGCGGTGGGTGGCCTTTCAAAGTCAGAGGGTTAAACTCCTCCCTCAGAGCATGCTAGCAGCCATGACTGTATGTGCACACCGTAAGGAGCCGTGAAGATCGTGCACCCACGCCACTAATTATTTCACCTCCAGTCACCCTTCCCAAAGCCCAAAGTTCCCCTGATTCTTTATCCCATAAATATCCTGAACCCTGGCTTCCAGGAGGCAGATGGGAGACCTGGATCTCCTACCTCTCTGCTGGGTTGCTTGGTGAATCAACTCTCTTTTGCAAAACTCATTGTTTCCATGATTGACATACCGTGCTGCAGGCAGAGCAGATTGGGGTCAGCAACAGGTCCCCAGATGTCAAGAGCTCAGTGGTTGGGCACACTCATGAGAAAAGCAAAGGCTTGCCTTCCCGCCCCATCTCTCGGTACAGTGCTTTAAACATGGTGTGCAGTGTAAAACCGTTGATTTTCACTTTATTCTTACTTAAATATACAAGGATGAAAATCAAAGTCGGTGGCTTCCCGTGGCAGCGGCTCAGAACATTGGCCAGGGCGTATTCAGGACACGTCCTCGCTGGCTCTTTTCATTTTGCATTTTATAGAAAAGGGGGTGTTTAGAAAATTATGTGGCTTAACTTCCTTCGAGTATAAATTCTCAACAAGTTTCGTTTATGCCTCAAGTTTACTGTGAAGTGTAATGAGAATCTGGCTGTTTATACAGACCCTGCTGGTGTCGTTGAGATTCAAAGACAGATTCAAATTTATCTTCCTCCAGTCTTGCTAAGATAATGGCCAATCTGAAATTCAGTCCTGGTTCCACCTTCACAAAAGCTAAATGTGAGAAGATTCCGCTATAAAGGAGCTAGGTGCTAGGAAATTCAGATCATCGGAGCAACGGAGACAGGGTGCCCGCTCCCGGGAGAGCCGGGGACACTGTTAGAGATGACTTTCTCCCTGGCCATCCAAATAGAGGTGTCTTCACACCTGCCAAAAGGACATGTCTCAGAGCACACGTGTGCATCGACCCTGCACATGAAGAGGTTCAGGATGTGCCCCAGTTGAGGGGCGCAGGAAGACGTCACTGTGCCACGTCGGCGTGTTGATTTAAAATGCACTTCTGCTCAGTCCTGCGGCTGCCGCAGGACTTGCTTTTAAACCACGGATTTATCTCCCTAATTATGCTTTGCTGAAGGCTGATGTTACAATGCGCCTGGATTTGCTGGTTGTAAGCTTGCTTCTGACGGAAAGCAGCCCAGAGTACAATCTGGAACTGAAGGAGAAGGAGTTGATATGCAAGATGGGCCCAGTTGGGTCATTCAGGATTCTCCAGGGAGCCATGCTAAAGAAGGGGGTGGGGGTGGGAACAGATGCCCATCAAGAGAGGAGGGGCCCTGGAGGGGTTTCACATGCACAGGTCGAGGCTGGAGAGAGGAGGAAGTATTTTCATCGTCCTCCTTTACTTTACCTGTGTGATGGGTGGAGGGCAGGTGGACATTGTGTACTCCGTCTTACAGATGGGGAAACAGAAATCCCAAGCCTGTGGAAGCTGAGGTGGACCAAGGATCCCAAAGTACCCCCATAAAGGTCAGGTGGGTGTGCATTATTGCACGTACCACCATGCATTTCCATTCCCAAATTATCACCTGCCCCTTTCAGGAAGCGATATCAACT